TCATGTAATTTCCTTGTCACATAAATAATCCTACTCTGGTCAAATATATAACAAATACGAAAAGGAAAATAGATAATTTATGTGGTTTAATTCTTACTTTGAAAGAGAAAAAGGTATTTTTTTTTTTTTGATAAGTAAATTGTATTAAAAGCGTTCAAAAGGGGAACGCGTCCCAAACTATACAAAGACAAAACGGAGCCTATAAACTCAAAGAGCTCATAAAATCAACAATATCCTCAAGAGAGGAGTAGTCTCTCCCCTAACCCCAACAAAACAAATTACAAATGATAGAAAATTTTAACACCCCAATGGAGGATTCCTTTCCCTCAAAAGATCTTCCATTACGCTCTCTCCAAAGGCTCCACCAAATACAAAAAGGGATCACCCTCCAAAAAACTCTAGCCTGAGCCCCCACCCATTGGCCCCTCCACAATCTAACAACTCCCAAGATGACCGAGGCATGACCCAATGAATACCAAACAGGCCAAACATCAAACTCCAACAATCATGAGCCACAGGACAGTGCAACAAAAGATGATCCACCGACTCCCCATTAATCTTGCAAAGACAACACCTATTAACAATGATATGCCTTCGCTTCCTCATTTTGTCCAAAGTCAAAATCTTACTCCAAGCTGCAGTCCACACAAAAAAGGCCACCCTAAGAGGCTCCTTAGACCTCCACACCGTCTTCCATGGGAATGAGGTACCATGAAAACCAGAAAGGCGCACAAAAAAGGACCGGACCTGGAACATCCCCTGAGAAGAAGGCACCCAAATCAAGGAATCTGCCCCAGACCCCTCCACCTCCTGTCCGTAAAGGAGAGCCAAAAACCCAGTGACATCATCCAGCTCCCAATCCTGAAAAGCTCGCCGGAAACGCACATCCCAAGACAACTTTCCACTATCAAGGCGATAGTAGTTAGCAACCATAGCATGTTTGTCAACAGCAATCCTGAAAAGCCTGGGAAACAATAGGGCCAAAGGCCTATCATCACACCATGGATCCTCCCAAAACTGGACAGTTCTTCCATCCCGAACTCTGAATCTAATATGTTTGGAAAAGGCATCCCACCCCTTACCAATGGCCCTCCACATCCCCACTCCGCTAACAGACCTAACTGGTCTAACTGACCACCCTCCTCTCTCCTCCCCAAAGTGACATGAGATAACCCTTCTCCATAATCTATGTCTTTCCTTACCAAATCTCCAAAGCCACTTACCAAGAAGAGCACAATTGAAAAGGGCCAATCTCTTAATTCCAAGCCCTCCCAACCAAATAGGCCTGCAAACCTGTTCCCATTTGACAAGATGATACTTGAACTCTTCTCCGCAACCCCCCCAATGGAAATTACATTGGAGCATTTCTAGTCTTCCAACAATAGAGGCTGGAATACGAAAAAGCGAAAGAAAGTACGTTGGAAGGCTTGACAAAGTGCTCTTCACTAACGTAACTTTACCGCCCTTTGACAGATATTGTTTTTTCCAACCCGCTAATCTTCTCTCGACCCGCTCAATCACCGGGTTCCAACTTCCCACCCTCCTAGCCGAGTCCCCCAGCGGCAAACCCAAGTACGAGATGGGAAAGTGTTGTGTCCCACACTCTAGTACACTTTGTCTCTTCTTCCTTCTTTGTTTTGTTTTTTTGTTTCCTTTTTCTTTGAGTTAAAGCTTTTACCATCACTTATTACAATGGTTGAAGTTCAGCTCTCAAAGTTGAGCAGGTTCAAATCTTGAGTCACTTTGTGCATTGAATGCTGTGATATTGTGGCTCGAATTTGGTGCTGGGTCGCGGTGCGAGGAAAAATTTTGACCCATTTTTTGCTCATGGGTCGTGGACCCTAATTATTATCTTGTAGCTCGATGTATAAGGGCGCTTAGGGTTTGGAGTGGAGTAAGAGAGAGACTCTAAAATTCGTATAGAAACAGAGTGAGGGGCTGAAAACTTGTAATCTCCAATTTTACACGTAGTGAATACTTTCGCCAGATCCCAACCGTGGACGTAGGTTGTTGCCGAACCACATATAAATCTTTGTGTTCTTTGTGTGTCGTGTTTACTTTTCTATCGTGATTCTTGATTCAACTTGGGTTCGTTGCATTTGTCATAACAAACTGGTATCAGAGCTTTCGGTTCGAAACAGGGATGTCGCCCGAGTTTCTGGAAATCGAGAAGTTTAACGGCAGAAACGATTTCAACCTGTGGCGGGTTAGGATGCAAGCTTTGTTGGTTCAACAAAGGTTATCCAAGGCGTTGAAGGGGAAGGATGCACTGTCAGAAAAGATCAAGGACAAAGATGAGGTTATAGAGAACGCACACAGTATGATTTTATTGTGCTTGAGTAACGAGGTTCAGCGAGAAGTTGCTGGAGAGACTACGACGGATGGGCTGTGGCAAAAGTTAGAGTCCCGATGTATGACGAAATCTCTTGCGATTCACTTGTATCTAAAGAAGCGGATGTTCACTCTTCAGATGCACGAAGGTTCGTCTCTGAAATACCATCTTGACTAGGTAAATAGTATCATCATGGACTTGAATAATATTGATGTCAAGATAGAGGATGAAGATTAGGCTATTATTCTGTTGTGTTCTTTACCACCCTCGTATGAGAACTTTGTCGATACAATGATATATGGCATAACTGCTTTGTCCAAGGCAGCTCTAAATTCTAAGGAGTTGCAGAAAAGGGCGTTTTTGGGCAATACAAAAAGTTCGGCAGAGGGGTTATTTGTTAGAGGGAGAACCAATCAGAAGGGAGACAGCAAAGGTCGTTCAAAGTCTAAGAACAAAACGAAGGTGTTAAGATGCTTCATTTGTCACAAGGAAGGGCGCACTTCAAAAAGGATTGTCCGGAGCGTAAGAAGGGAAAGGTAAAATCCTCTGAAGTTGAAAGTGTGGCTGTTGCAGAGGGTAATGATTCAAATGGTGGTAATGTTCTCACAATTTCAGTCGGCAGCTCTTGCGATGAGTGGATTCTTGATTTAGGTTGCTCGTTTCATGCTTGTCCAAACATGGACTGGTTTATCTCTTATCGATTTATTGATGGAAGGGAAGTTCTGATGGGGAATGATGCGGCGTGCAAGGTTGTAGGTATCGGTATAGTTCGAATCAAGATGTATGACGGCATAGTGAGGACACTGACTGATGTCAGGCATGTACCAGAACTAAGAAAGAATTTGATTTCCCTGGGTACGCTAGATTCCATGGATGTACTTATAAGGTTGGAGGTGGAGTCATTCGGGTTTCCAAGGGTGCTATTGGGGTGATGAAGGGACTGAAGAAGCATGGTTTATATGCTCTGCAGGGTAGCACAATTACGGGTTCAATTGTTGTATCATCCTCGAATTCAGATTCAGATACTACCAGATTGTGGCATATGCGGCTTGGGCATATGAGTGAGAGGGTGATGGATGTTCTGAGTAAGCAAGGTTTGCTTGGTGGTAAAAAAACTGGAAAGCTGGATTTCTGTGAGCATTGCATCTTTGGGAAGCAGTGTAGAGTGAAGTTCAGTACAGGAATTCATAAGACCAAGGGTACGGTGGATTATATTCATTCTGATCTTTGGGGTCTCTCTCAGGTTACTTCACATGGTGGTGGTAGATATATGATGACTAAAGTCATTCCTACACTCAAGTTCAAACACTGTTTGGACTTGATTGGTACTTACAGTTGCTGAGGCCCTTAGGGGCATGTGGAGGCAGCGGAAGGAGTAGCTGGAGATTGTGGACTTGGCGTAATTTGAGCCAAGGTGGAGATTTGTGATATTGTGGCCCGAATTTGGTGCAGGGTCGCGTTACGACCCGCTTATGATCCGACGATTCGTTGGATGAGCTTTATGTGGGCCAAGCCCACCAGACCCTTGGGGGTTTTGGGGCTTGGCCCTGAGGAAAATTTTTGACCCATTTTTTGCTCATGAGTCGTGGACCCTAATTATTTTATTGTAGTCCAATATAGAAGGGCACTTAAGGTTTGGAGTGAAGTAAGAAAGAGACTCTAAAATTCGTACAGAAACATAGTGGGGTTCAAAACTTATAATATTCAATTTTACACATAGTGAAAACTTTCGCCGGATCCCAACCGTGGACATAGGCTGTTGCTGAACCACGTATAAAATTATAAATCTTTGTGTTCTTTGTATGGTGTGTTTACTTTTCTGTTGTGATTCTTGATTCAACTTGGATTCATTGCGTTTGTCATAACAAATGCTTTGTATCTGGTCCATCCCTTCTAGCACCCTTGATTATTGGAGGCCACATTGGTTAAATGACCCTTGTGACCTTTAGTTATAGCTTTTAGTGTTTTCATGTGTAATGTTAGTGATAGAAACCCAAAGAGGATGGTGATATTTCATTGTTTCAAAAGATGTGGATGGATGATTGGATTCTTATCATGTGGTTCACACCATTGCCATGATTCTATCGGCTTCTTGTTGATGATGCTTATTTCTAGGGCCTATTAGTTGCGATTTTATTAGAATCCAGACTAATTAATCCTAATCCTACTCTCCGAACTTTGAGAAATATAAATGCAGAGACGATGTATGCGCTTCAGAATATGGCATTCTTAACGTAACTCCCTGTTGATTCAAACTCCATATCCCAGTTGATTTCCAGGGTTCATGGTCTCCCCTCACTCTCAAAGATGCTTTTGTAGTTTCAAATCCTTGGCCTAATGCAAATGATCCTTCTTTTTTTTTTTTTTTTTTTCCCGGAAATTCAAGTTAATAATCGAGAGCCATTCAAGTGCAATATAGGAGGGAATGATCCTTGGTCTGATGCAAATGATTCTTATTGTTTGTAGCGTGTAGTCTCATTTTATCTTTAGGAGTACATGTGGTGTTATCCTTATTGTATATGGTGTTATCCTTATTGTATATAGTGTGTAGTCTTATTTTATCTTTAGGAGTACTTGTGTAGTTATCCTTATTGTATATAGCGTGTAGTCTCATTTTCTCTTTAGGAGTACATGTGTAGTGATTAACCAGGCCTGTGCCGTAAATCAGATGGACATGGATCAGGATGGCAACCAGTGCCAACTCATGATCCAGTGGTTCAAGATGCAGCATATCATGCTGTGAAGACCATCCAGCAGAGGTCGAACTTGTTGTCCCCATATGAACTGCTAGAGATTATTCTAGCTAAGGCCAAGGTTGGCAATATACTATCATATTTATTTAATTTCTCCTATATACATGATTAATTAGTTTTAACTGTAAGTCTTTGAAGTTTCAATTGAAGAAATTCATGTGACATTTAACAAAGTTCCTACCAATTAAATGAAGGTGCATGAAGATTCTGCCGTACTTGATCTGCTTCTGAAGGTTAGGAGAGGAAGTAAAGAAGAGAATCTTAAGGTAATAGTAAATAAGAATATTGAAGGAATGTTCTATCTGGATCATATGGAACAAGATCATGCCTTAATGTGCTAAACTTCCTATTATGTTGTAAATGTCCGTATAAATCCGCCTATCATGTTAACAAGTTTGGATTGATGCTGTTTAGCTTATTACTCTGGTACAGAATTAGAAATAACTTGAATTTGGCTTCTCGCCTTTGGTTGTAAATTTGTGAACTGGTACCTATGATATAGATATGAATTTTCTATTTTATTTCTGGGGATCTGTGAATTGATACAAGCAGGCCCTGCTCTATGGATACAATAATTATAGGATTCATCATCACCACCACATTCGTCTTCTTCTTTGTGCTTTAATAATCTCTTCCATGCACTGCTTTTATTATGACGATACACATGGTACCATTCTTGTTTTCTTGTAAGAAACATTTTAATGTACAGAAGTTATATGGATATTTCTCTCTATTTCGCTTTCTGGAACTTCAGATTTCAGAATACAACTGGGAAATAGATTCATATGGCAAACAGAGTACTTACATGTTGTTAATACAACTTAAGTACTGCATATGTGAGATAAGCAAGTATTCACAAATACGCACACTGGCACACGTTTCACAATTGCGGGCTTGAACCTTCTATCTCCTCTTTGAGGGAGCAGATTTTATACCATTGGAGTAATGACCCGTTGGAACAACAATTGGTGGAGATTGTGAAGGCTATAGTTTGTTTGTTGGTTGAATTCGTTTTATTCTTATAGTTATATGTGAAGTTGGAAGTGAAACTATAGTTTGTTGGTTGAATTCGTTTTATTCTTATAATTATACGTGGAGTTGGTACTTGTTCTATGTTTTTATAGCAAATCAACTGTTAACTGTAGTTTTAGTGGGTGGGGGACTGGATTATTGAGTCTTGCCGGTGACCCACATGTATTTTTATTTCAAACTTTGTAAGCGATTTATGGACAAAAGAGAGAAAGAAAATTAGATATATTATCATGTAACAAAAGAGAGAATAATTTTAGAACGTATTTTTGAACAATAAATTTATGACCCGAAAGTTCAGAACTCGACCCATTTTGTTGGATTCTTGAAACTCGTGGTCTTCAAGAAGAGCACGGGATGATTGGATGACGAGTGATTTACTAGGTCGGATAGAGAGAGAAAGGGTTCGCCCAGAGATAGAGCGACGATGCAAGAGAATAACCTCAATTAAGTGTTTAATCTTAAACGGATGTGTTAATTGAATTATATTTGAATATCATTGAAAATGGTAATCGTCACTTAAATTGGGATAAAATTGTAAGTGATAAGGACATCACTTATCGCTTAAAAACATATTTAACATTGAGGAGCGCACATAAAGTGTGGGAGTGAACTGACAGTGAACTGACTTGAGGGCTGTGTTTATGTAGGTGATTTTGGATAGGTGAATACATTACATATGGGTACCATATTAAGCCTGTTATCAACTCAAAAATTAAGGATCATGTAAAGTCTGACGACGAATGTGGCCAGCTTGACGGGTTGGGTATTTCTTGCCAGCCAGCCCTACTCCCACTTTATGAAGTTTGTTTGATATCAAGAAATGATGGTTTGTTTTTATGAATAAGGTGAATGTTTCTAGTTGAGTGTTAAGTAAAGTGAGAGCAAACACATTCTCTAATTTGGACAGGATAGGATGGCATAGAACTTCTTTTTTTATTTTTATTTTTTATTTTTTTATCAGGATCGAAAAGAACGGTAAGAAGGGTAATTTCATGTAGATCTACTAATACACACCATGTTGTTTAAATCCCCTCTTAAATCTTCGAATCATATGATCATACAATCTGAAAATTTTTAATCGTTCGGATATCATAAAAAATCAGGGCAATTTCATTTAATATTTAATCGTTCCAATCTTACAATTTGAATTATATGTTTAGATTATATGAGATTGTTCGGTAATAATAGTGATCTCTTACTTTTCGTGGTGCAAAAAAATTGATCCGCACTTTCTATAGTAACCATTATATTTAATCAAGCTGTTACTATAGATATCCTTTCATTTTAATACAAAATCGTTATTCCTATTTTTAGTTTTCAGATTTAATATTTACTAATTTCACTCATTACAACAATAAAAGATAATTAACAAAAAAATAAAAAAAATAAATAGAAATTTCTTTACCTACGAAAATCACTACAGTGTTTGGGTAATTTCCAGAAAAACAAAATCGTATACCCCGCATAAGGTCACAAAGTATTTCCCATCACTTTCCTTTTAATCAAATTTAACTTTAATAATAATAATAATAATAATAATAAAATAAATAAATAAACGAACGATAAGTTCAAGGAGGCTGAATCAGAGGAGAACATTCAGGAAGGGGCTTTAAGAAAATAATACGAATTTAAAGTAGGTGCATGAAGCTATGGCAATGGATGGTTGTTTTTAAGCTATTCTTTATTCAAAATGGTCATGTGGTTCAACAGAATAATTTGTTGAAAACTCGGGAAAAAAAAACTCGCGCTTATTATTTTGAATCTGAGTCAAGGTTTGAGTCTCTTCTGATCGATTTGGTGGGATTTTACATCCATGTCCATGCTGGTTACTTTATTTTGATAAAGGGTGCAATTTGAATATTGATGGATATGGTTACTTTATTTTGATAAAGGGTGCAATTTGAATATTGATGGATATCATATCAATTTATGTTGTTACATAGTTGTCTTTTGACTTGTATATATGTTTTTTTTTTTATTCTTGGAATTCATTGATAGCCTTTTTTTTCTTTTTTAATTTGTTCTTTAATCTTCCTTGCTGCCAAAAAAAATTTCTTTTTTAAGAACGAAATCCTAAACTACTACTGTTTTTTTTTTTTTTTTGATAATTATCTTTTATTATTGTAATTAGTGGTATTGGTAAATATTAAATTTAGAAATTAAAAATAGGGATACTGGTTTTATATTAAAAGAAAGGGTATAGGTGGGGTTTCTATAGTGACCGTTAGATTAAATCTAACGGTCACTATATATTTATCAAAAAAAAAAAAAAATTTAATGGTCACTATAGAAAGTGCAAATAATTTTTTTTGCTCCACAGGGAACAAGAGATCAATACTCCAAACAAGCGTGTGCTCAATAGTCAGTGGTCTACATCAATTTGTTGTTATAACGTATATAACTACAAACCCTTAAACATACGTTCATTTATTTATTTTTTCCAAAACAAGTGTACTCGATAGTCAGCGGTCTACATCAATTATGTTGTTATAACATGTATAACAACATAATTTTTAGTGGGGTATTTTTGGTTTTTAAAATATCTATTTTCTTTTTAAATTTCCTAAATATGAGTATTTATGTAATTTTTCATCGTCCCTTAACGGCAGTTAGTCATCCATCCGTTAGAGGGGGTAATTTGTAACTTTTGAGGGTTCTCAAAATAATTATAATTAAAAAATAAAAATAAATAATAGTAAAAGGGAGTAGTGTGCAACTTTTTATAAATATAGGGGCTTTAATGCAATTTTACATGTACACATATGTCATTGATTAAAGATAAGAGTTGGTGTCATAAGAAAATTTGTGTTGGACCGGGAGGGGGGGTGAATTGGTCAATTTCAAATCCTTCTTCAACACAACAATGATCACAGTTGACATCAAATACAAAGAACACAAGGTTTACAAAGAAAATCCTCTCAATAAGGAAAAACCTTAGTTTTTGGCCTAAGCCAATATAGGCTCCACTAGTTGTATGCAAATAGTTACATACTCAACTGTCTCACACTCTACACATACAAGTTAAAACACTGGTTTTCACAACCTCTACACACACACTAGCTCAACTCAGTGCTCACAAGCACTCCCTATGTCCTAAGCACCTTTGTTTGGACTTGCAAGCTCTCACCGGTCACCAAATACAATAAGAAGTATGAATATCAACAATATTCAAGCCTACACAAAATATAAGAGTAGTTGCGTAACGACCTAAAGCCGGGGATCTGGATCGCTAACTGAATCCTTACCCGAACTTGAGGTCACACAAGGGTACTATGGTCATTTCACATCATTATAATAGTTCTAGAGTCTATAAGGGTATAACAATCATTTACTCTAGTAAAATAATAGTTTAGAACCCAACAGGGTAAAATAGTCATTTAGTACGTTCATTATACCTTTTAAACTCATCAGGGATAAAACTGTCATTTTCTATGGTCATTCTATGTTTTGGTTGAAGTCTGGGGGTAAATAAGTAATTATATTAAAATTTGGGTTCAATGTGCAAATGCAAAACCAACTAATTGGTTACATTGAACCATCTAACCAGTTAGATGACTTACCCAAATAAACATGCATTCTGTCCAACCAACTGATCGGTTAGATAGTTCATCTAAAACGGTTACATGTTCATCTAACCAGTTACTTAAATCCATCTAACTGGTTACTTGGCTTGGGCAGTGAACTTGCAGATCTGGAAATTTCCCCCCTTAGACCAATTAACCGGTTAGATGGATTCATCTAACTGGTTACTTGGCTTATGACAAAAAAAATAAAAAAATAAAAAAATAAATAAAAATAAAAAAAATAAAAAATTATTCCAAATTTCATAAAACATTTGAGATGCCTCATAGGTCCATGAGATTAATCAAAACTCATCTCTAACCCCTTTTCCAACATCGAGCAACATGCTAAACAACCCATATATGAAATCAAACACCTAACTACATCAAATTAATATTATCCATATATCTCAAAATGATGAAATTGTATCCAAAAGAATAAGATTACAAGCAAGGCCTCCGTGGCCACAAATACAACAATTTCACTTGAAACCGACAAAAGAATAAGGTCATTACATATTAGTCAATTTTCCCAAAAGAATGTCTTTACAAAAGATACAAGAATGGTCGTCAAACTACGTCTAAACTTGCGGGAGTGCACATCTACAACATCCTTGCCATGTTCTGAAAATGTTAAAATATAGGGTGAGTAAGAGATAGCCTAAAGTACACCTATTTTAGTCCCGTGAATCACACTTAAAGTAAGGAATAACAAGAGAAATGATCATACAATGGGGAAAGAGACAATTATACAACATAAGTTTAAACTTCATACTTTACAAATGATGAAATGAGATGCAATGAAATGAACTCTCCTTATTTCCGAAACCATTTCCGTCACAACACAACCCACACCGAAAATGTTAACACAACCCGACCCTAGGAAACTCCTAGGCATCACGAATAGAATTGGCTTTCTATCCCTGACC